GGAAGGGAAGGGAAGGAGAGGGAAGGGAAGGGAAGGAGAGGGAAGGGAAGGAGAGGGAAGGGAAGGGAAGGGAAGGGAAGGGAAGGGAAGGGAAGGGAAGGGAAGGGAAGGGAAGGGAAGGAGAAGGGAAAAATAAAGGTCTACAATGCAGAACTTAGCATACTATGGGGAAATATGCAAGAAGATAGCTTGCTTGTTGGGGCATGATCTAAGTTACTTCTCCAAAGGCTGGAGATATCTGCTCCACAGAGGATAACTTGGTGAGCGTGGCCAAGGCTGCAAGCACCACTGAATCGATGGAGCGGGGGGTCTGAAGCTGAAAAGGCAGAGGGCTCTTGTTCAGACCTTTATATTCACTGCCTTGCAACCCTCGTAACACACATTAAAACTCTGGGTAGCATATATCTCTCCTCCTCAAAAGTGGAATTTATTTATTGGTGACGAGGTAGAGGAAAAAGTCTTATTTAGGTCAAAATAACGGATATGAATTAAAGAAAGCCTGTGTTCTTCTCTTCAGAACAATTTATTTGTGAATCTGTAAGCTTTATAATTACGAGCAGGGTGCTGCAGGCAAAGGTTGAACGCATTCTGATGAACTCACTGCTTATTCAGGAAAATAAACCCTGAATGTCATGTCAGTATTGGTGAACTGACAAACACAGGAGCTCTTCTGTATTTATCTGACAAACCTATATCCCAAGAAATATTACTTGGGATGAAATGCTTCATCAGATGCCAATAAGCAGAGAAATTTATTCCCTGAGCTTTGCTACGGCTGCATGCAAAGCTGCTGAGTGGAGGCAGGTAAGAGTGGCTGCGAACAAGTGCTGGTGGCAGCACATGGACGGTCTTCAAGAAATGACCTGTTCTTGACAGCTGCTTTGCCCACAAACCACTTAATTTGAACCACTCCTGAACCAGTGTTGAACAGTCCATTCTTCTGTAAATGCAGCAAACAAGATATCCCCAAAAACCTTCTCACCACTAATTTTTTACGCAAAAGATCTTACAGTGCATGCTGGTGGGTTTCAGGAAATATATGTTTTGTATAAAATTTATTTCTAAATCTTCCAAATAATGCTGATTGTTATCTCTTGTAGAGACTTGCACTGTAATGGGACAAAACAACTGTTGCAAATCTGCTAAACAAGAAAATGAAGCAGAAATGCGTTTTGTAGAGCTAAAGCACTGATTTCATGGAAAATTTTCTTGACATTCGGATAAAAGGATTTCTATTTTCAAATGGGCATAGCATGGCTCAGGAAGTGCTGTGAAAGGATCTACAACTGAAAGGATCTTATTAGTATGGGCAAATCAGCCAAAAATAATTTTTCTCTTTCCTATGGTGAAACATTCTCCAATGAATCATCTTGCAGCTGCTCAGTCAGAGGTGGGAGCTGACAGGAGAAGAAAAAACTAATTGAAGTTTGGCTTGGCCAGTGGCTATGCTCTAGCAGTGGACTATATGGAACATTAACAGCCCTAATGAAGTCCCCGTTTGAAGCGGTACTAGAAAGGCACAAAGAACATGAAATACTCTTCTACAGAAGGAGGTTACTGAAACGGCATTATATTTTCACTTTTGAAAGAAATTAAAGTTTCTAAGTATGAGTAAAGAAGTGATGGTCCTTTTTCAACAGCAGGTATTTACAAGCAAGTACACAAATTGGACATCTTATTCTGCATATGCAGGCTCTTTTCTTCCACTAGATAGACGCAGCAGTGGCAAAGGAGAAAAAAAAAATGAAAGCATCTCATCCAGGAAGTAAAATAGAGTCTTAGGTATGTGAAGGTTCAAAGCACGTGGTCTACAGCTTCAGCTCTGGTCCCACTGCAATTGAGGGCTGAATTCCCACTGACTACTATGCAGGCAGTATCTTCTCCATTTTTTCTACTTTTTATGTAAATGCAAAATTGCACAAACCAAATCTTCCAGATTGGCAGCTTCAGACCACAAAGGAACACTGAGACAAGCTGGAAGTAGCCTTCACCCTCCAGGCTGGAGAGCATCTCCACAACTGGCAGGGCAGCTTGGGCACCTCCCGAGCCGTCCGGCTGCATTTCCACCCTGGGGAATGTGCCTGGCAGCAGACTGGTGATTCCTGCTCTTGCGTCTGGAGAACATGCAAGTGTGACACTGGTGAGCACCACAAAACACCAGGAAACGAGGACTCACTCTGTCTACCCTGCAGAATTTGTGAATGTGCTCAAAGCAACTGCACGCACATCCCACTGCCACCAAGCAGCCTAATTCATTATTACATGTTCATGTTCCACGTGCTTTGCTTTTAAATTATTCAGTTTTTCTTCTGTGTGTTTTTCTTGAACTGAAATCAGCCAACCTGCTTATTTCCATATTATGCTACCCATTTTTCAAGCAGGAAAAAAAAAGCCTCACATTTTTGCTAATTGAAGGCCCACTCTAATAAAACAGTCGTAATGCCTGGCGCTTTGTGAATGCAAGCAGGGTAAGCAACCAGCTCTGCTTGAGATGAAGAAAAGACTTGCTCTTCCACATCACCTTCTTTGCACCTCTGAATCACTCATTTCCTGAGCTGTGGCAACAGTTACAGCTATTATATCCCTTGCTCTCAGGGAGACTGCGAAAACTCTGCTCCCTGAAGAGTCAAATAAGATCATTAGCAAATTATCCACCGGTACAGCATGAAAAAAGAAAAGCCAGCAGTCTGATGAATATTATTAGAGAATTTTTGTATAATAAGAGCTTTTGAAGATTGAAAGTGCTATAAAATTGCCAATTTGAAAGATAGCTGTGCTCTTTCATCCAGCGACAGGCCCAAGCTCTCTAATGTGGCCAGGCTGCACTCAACAAAGAACCACAGTGTGGGGGGAGAGCAGGGGCAGTTCTACCATTTTACATTGCTCTCATTTCAAGATTGAGATATTAATCACCAAATCCTGCTCTCTCAAGAGCCTGTACACCACCACCAAGCACAAAGTTACAGAGAGCACAACTCCTAAAATCCTTTCTTTCACAAACCTCTCTATCCAGTTCTAAAACAAAGCCCCAAAGTCCTTTCCATTCAAGAAGAAAACATCCACTGGTTCAAAGCTGTGAATATTTAGTATTGAGTTATTTCCATTCTGGAGGTTACTTTCTGGGGCAGTATGCCACATAGTAGTCAGCTAAGACTGCCAAGTAACAGACACTTCCAGTTGCAGTAATATCTGCCCCAGTGCTCTCATCACCACATGGGTTTTCAAACACTAACAAGCAGCCAGCAAATTCCATTATTTCAGTCACTTCTGAACTAGGCTCAGTCCGAAATCTCATTTCAAAGGCAACAGCTTCCCAGTCTAAGGCTAACCTCCAGAGCCACCCACATCCCAGCCCTACATCCCAGTCCAGTATAAACAAGGTGCCTATGCTGAAGGAAGTGTCCCTTCAAAACCCATCACTGAAGAAGGAAGCAGCTGTGGGACACACAAACTATGAAGCTGTACATAAAGATGAGCCTGCAATGCCCTTTCACAGGTCTACTTGAAACAGTCAGACCGTAGTAAGTTTTGCATATTTCTATTATCTGCTTTCAAGGATGCTATGTGCAGTCTGGGTGTAAAAGACCACATCCTAAATTTTCAGGCTTAACACTCATGCTTGGTAGGATTAAGAGGGTGTTTGAGTTATAGGTTCACAATAGGGAAAAGGCATCAATCTTATTCAATATGACAAAATCAAAGTTCACTATACTGTGTGTAACATACCTGCTGTCATAACTCAATTTTCTGGAATGGCCATGAAAAGACTTCATTGCACCTACTGCAAATTCTGGAGTCCCGATCTCTTTACATTTTAAAAAGGTGTTTTGGTTGGATTTCATATGACAGAAGATTTCTAATATGATCATACTTGAGAAGACCTTGCTGTTCAATCAGATCTTTGACTTGAGATCTTATGTAAAAATCAGGTCCCAACGGAGAAACATAGTAGCCTGAAACTGGTTCAATATACTAGAGCTATCTTGCTGCTAAAACAAAATTATCAGCCTTTGGGATTTCAGCCTCACTACATTCCTATATATTGCAGGCATATAAACATCACACAGAAAGATAAAAAAGAAGAATACAGAATTTGAGACTTATGAAACAATCCAGGGAGATATCAGTTATATGATACAACCAATGTTGTTTAGAATGCATTTTAAATCTGTTTTGTAAAGGCTGATGAGCTCCTTTCTTCTAATACTGTTGCTGCTGATGATGATGGTGATTCCCAAAGGAATTTTCTTCCTCGGTTAATAAAAGTTCTAGAACTTGATTTTCTTTAGACTCTTACTCAGATTTGTTCAGTTTCCAGTAACTCTTTAAAGATACAATAACAGCCCATGACTGCTGTAACACACTTACCACTGTACGGGCACCTACAAAGTTCCCACTGAACTATGGAATAATCTTGAGTTTCCCTATATTTGTATTCCAACATTTCATTCAATTTTACCTTTAAATTATGAAGGTCTAGACTAAAGTTGGCCTGTAGCATACAGTAAAGAGTCACCTGCTCTTTTACCCTAGCAAAAGCTGATTTCATGAAGATTTTCTCTGTATAGCACGATAAATATTGGCTGTCTCAGATAAAGTCTTCGGAGAGCAGTGAAGATGATCCTGTTTCCTTCTCCTGTTCCCTTTCCTGTTCCTCTGGAAAGGGGAGCAGGCCAGCGCAGGAGGAGATGCCTCGGGCACGCCTTTGGACCTGCTGCTCCTGCCTCGGTACCTTCATGGCTCTAGTAGAAGTTCTGACTGAAGCAGCCTAAATCCATAATCCGGCTCAAAAGGTAGGAACCTCAGAACAAGTGCTGTAAAAGTAGTTATAAAAACTACTTCAATAGGTTGAGTCAATATGTTCTTCTATATAAGATATGTTCTTCTGTATAAGTTTCCAACTGTCACATTGCATGAAAAAATAAAACATTTTCTTTTTAATCCTAGCAAGAGCATGATTGCCTTTTTTTTTTTTTTTTTTTTTTGAGTACCCTGTCCATGGAAAACTAATTTCGTTCCATTAATGAAAAGGAAGCAAAATGTGATTGAGGATGTAATATGGAATTATAGTTCATTAATTCTTCAAGTAGGTAATTTTCCAGGCTCCTGATCCCCCATTGATTTCTAGACACCCCCATAGGTCCTGCTAAATGCCAGCAAAAGGAAATTCAATCGTGTTGTTATTTCATGTGTGGCAGCGGCGGCTCTCCAAAATTAGATAGAAACATTCTGAAAGGGATTTTTCCACTGACTGCTTCACCATGCAGCCCTGTTAACAAGTCTTTCTTGTCAAAAACTGATCAATCACAGACCCCACAGATAACTGAAACTAAGACAGCTTCTTATTATGCAGCCAATACCATCAAAGGATATGACATTTGTAACAATTGAAGATGATAATTCAGAACACCTAATTAACCACGATGAACTAGCTACATGCTTGAATAGTTAAAAAAATGTAAGGAATATATTTTTCCATGAGATCCTGTGAAACTGGTTATGCCAATCCCCATTAGAGAGTTAAATAAATCGAGTCATTACTGGGTTTCTGTTTTCAGATGTTGACTAAGATGCAGGATTGCTTTCAGCTTGGCCATAATTCTCAGCCTAGCAACTCATCCTCAAAATAGTACATGCTTTCTCTGTTAGCCCTACCTTGAGAAACAAAACTAATTATCTTCCTCACGATACCAAAATTACTTGCATGCCTTAAATACACAGAAAATTCGCTTTAATTCCATACTAGTTTTTGGGAAGCTACTTAGCTCCAGTTGCAGATATTAGAAATAAAACTAACGCACTAGTGCTACTCACTAAAAATGCTGTCAGTTAATAGATAACAGCAGTCAGTTTAAAAAAAAAACAGATAGATTAATCTCTTTGGAAGGGAAAAAACAGTTTTGTCAGGTGCTTTCTTTTGTGAAGAGTGAGAAGAAAGGCTTTCCTTGAACAGTGCACTGAAGGAAGGACTTGAATTTTATCGGGGAGGAATCAAGTCATTGATAATTGTGACGTGCAAGAGCAACTTCTGTATATTTGAACCAGAGATTCAACCTGACCCAGTTTTGCAAAATTTAGTTCAAGTTCAGTTCAGGTAGGAATTAACAAAACTTCCAATGATTCAAGTTCAGAAGGCATTAGAAGCAAACAATCAAACCAGAGCCCCACGTCACAACTCTTAGATTGAATTTGTCTTAGATTGTCTAAGATGTGTCTTAGATTGAATTTGAATTCCTGATTTCAGCACAGCCTCCTGGTGCGGGGCATCACGTGTACTATGAGTGTGCATGCCTGATGTCATGCAGTCTTAACTACCTATTACCGTGACTCTCAGC